CCTAAAGTGATCCTCCTTATTTTGGTTCTATCAAAGTTTATACTGAAAATTTCTTGTAAGTCTTTCATTTGTATCATACATAATTGTTTAATAAAATGTTTTCGCATAGACCTCCTGATTTAAAAATTAACTTTCGAACATCAGATAACTTTATCATATTTAATACAGAAAAATGATATATTCCTAAATATAGACATACGAAGCATTGAATATCGAAAACGTATCGTGCTTTTCTTTTAATAAAAGAAACTTACCCTACTCGGAACTTATTCTTTCTTAAATAAACTTGGATTCACAAATGTTACAAAATTGGAGCCAACGTCAGCCTGCGTAAAATTGAATGCATATCTTGGAGTTTCACTGTTTCACAAACTTCAAAATTAATGCAAGAAAAGGCATTTTCTCGTTATTTCATAATCACAGTAATTTATATAGTTTAACATTATTGCAACAACGACTAGAAAACAACTAGAAATGTATTTTTTCCAAATTTTTAATTTCAATTTTTAATCATGTATGCTTGCTCACGTTACTACTTCACTACACAACCAACCAATGTCGACTAAAGACACATTTATTTTAGTATAATGGTGCATGGTGTAGAAAGTGTATTTCATTGAACCCTCTCTTGTGAGTTTGACTAAAGACATGGTGTACATAATAAGTATATGGTGTTTGGCTACTCGCTCACCTCATTCTTCTTCTTTTTGTGCAAAAAAGGTGGTTTCACCTTTTTACCATAAAACCAAACATTGTAAATACTTTTTTTGCCTTATTGAACCCAAATGAAAGAAATTACAACTACAACCCCTTAATCATTAGGTCAACTCAATGTTGGTCAATTACCTCATTTTTGGAGATCATCTTCAAATCTTGCTCGTTGTAGATCATTTTCAGATCATCCATGACCATTTGTAGTTAGGGGTGGGCACGGAGTGGATATCCGGATTTTTCAAGGTATTTGTGATTTGTTTCGAATGTTACGGATATTTAATTTTGGTATTTGCTTTGCTTCGAAAAAATACGGATATCCGAAAAACAGATATCCGGAAAATAAGTAGATATTTGCAGATATTTATGAATATTTACGGATATTTAATCCATTTTGATTAATAGAAATAATCTTATAATTTTTATATCAATTTGCTTTGCAAAAATATCTTTTTGCATAATATATAAAATAAAAATTAAAAGAACTAGTGAATTTACATATTTTGTAATTTTTGTAGTTTAAGTTGCAATTATAATAACACAAAAGTTAAGAAAAAAAATTATGACAAAGAACAAAAAAATATAATTGTCATATTTTTTTTTCCTTTTATGTAATACATATATATAAGTAATAATGTGAATAGAATTGTACAAAATCATGTGTTAGAATAATAATTATATAATTTTATACATATAAAATTTTAAATATATCAATATATACCTATATTTATATATTTTCGGATCGGATCGGATATACGTTTCCCAAAATTTTAATATTTGTGATTTGCTTCGATTTTAGCAGATATTGATTTTTAGTATTTACTTTGATTCAAAAGTTACAGATATCCAAAAATTTTGGATCGAATCAAAACGAATAACAAATCAAATTAAATTTAATAATAAAGTGTCCATTCCTATGTGTAATGCCATGTTAACTGATTACGTCTATTGGAACAAACTACTTATGTCCACTATTCACATGTGGCTTCTACCCTCGTCAGACGACACACATTCATTAGTTTAAAAAGTTGATTCTACACATTACCACTATGATTATTTTTAATCAATTGTAGTGCTAAAATATCATTTTCTATTCAGATCACCCATTTTGTAAATTATACAAAATAAAAACATTTAACTACTGATGAATTCTTTGATAAATAGTCAAAATGCATTTTTAATAACACACATAGTTAAATAGATTGTTGATTTATATTGTACTAGATAAATAAAATATATATTTTACTAGATAAATAAAATATACAAAATAAATTAATGAGTGAAATGAATATGGTTTCATTTTATTTAATAATTGTCTCTTATATCTCACAAAGCAACTAAAATTGAAATCGTTACCGCACATGCACCCACTGTATGATATACTTCATATATATATATATCATACTTTCTGACGTATAATTGTTGTTAAGTGAATTTTTCAAGTACCGAAGATGAATATGAGTTTAGGCAAAACACTCCTCAATTACTCAAAACGAAAATTGGTAAACCACGTATAGTTTAGATGACAACTGTAACACATCTATTAAGCCCTCATTATCAAATGGCTGATATTATCCTAAATTGAACGTATCAGAAACAAAAACCAGAACAATAAATAATGGATTACGGATTCATATAGTCTATCACTGAAGAGACAAACTAATAAAAATCAACAGGTTCAAGGATAAGTCGTGGCTCTAGTACAATGAAAAAGACATTTGCCTTATGGCCACATATCTAAATTTCTAGTGGCCTCTAGTTACAATGAATTTCATGTTAACCAGTTAAAATCTCACGTATTTGGGTTTCACGAGAATTCAATTCTTATATCTTTTTAATTATAAAATACTTTTAATTAATTTTACTATTAATAAATTTAATATTTTGAGAATTAATTTTATGAAGTGCTTTTAATCTTTGTTTCTTATAACAAACAATATTTTTTAATAATTTAGCTTTGTTTCTAAATTTATAAAAATTGAATAATTATATAAAACACATATTTAAGAGACTTTCTTTTAAAATTTAGATCTACATATAATTTTTTTAAAAATAGTTTTAACTTCATTAAATTATATTAATTTAAATATTAGAAGGTGTCCAAGGTAAACAATCCAAACAGTCGCTTAGTACATGCAGTTTTAAAAGGGCATACTTTTTATATTATTTTTGTTGATATTTATAATTTTAATAATTATATTTGTTAACAAATTTAGTATTATTATGAAATTTTTACTAACTTAAATGAGAAATTATTAAATTTTAACTGGTTAACATGAACATTTTCATTTAATATTAAAATGTATTGAGTAATTATGTGGTAAAATAATAACATTTTAGATGAGAAATTTTGTATTAACAAATGATTTTAGTAAGTTATGTTGAATATATTCTAAATGTTTTGAATAACATTTAATAGTATTGTTGTACATATGAATTTATGAAATTATCTTTACTAGTTATGAATAAAATTTAATTAATTTATCAAAATTCTAGTTAGAAATATATATATAATATTATATGAAAACTTAAAAAAAATTGTTGAATATTTGTTTAGGATATCAAAAAGCATTGAATCGACAATGATTCAAAATAAATAAAAAGATGGAAAATTAGGACATATAATAATTTTATTAATTAAAGTTATCTTCTCTCTCTTACTTTCTTTTCTTATTTTTTTCTATAAATCAATCGTTTTCAAGGTTATTACACAAATACGCCCAAATAGAAAAAAATTAAATTAAAATAAGAATTAGAAAAACAGGAAACCTCAACGAGCGGACAAGACAACTTAATGGTGTAGTTGTGGGTGCTTCTCTTTCTACCACACTAAGAAGATGGATCATTATGCATCACCCACTTGTTATTTATGAATTCTAAATATTTTTGAAACGTTGGGATTTATTTTGCCAAGTTTTTCTCTCTACGCCAGTAGCCTGTTTATTTTAGATTCCGAAAAATTGCGTAATGCAAACAGAAAGGTTCTGCATGGTGCATGCATTGGCGTCCACCCAAGTCCTTCTCAAGTCTTAAAGACAAGGTTCTTCTTGATCCGGTCCATGCTAACTAGAAATAAAATAATTTAAGAATAATATACTTGTTCCAGTATGGATGGATCGATAGATTATGGAACTCTTAGATGGCTACTCCTACAATTTTAAAGCCCAACCAAAAATAAACTATGGTCTTATTGTGAACATAACATTTTCAGTTTGTTGTATTCTTTAAAGTAGAGATAAATATTTCCTGGAATGCGTTTTTTTTTGTACCTTTCACTAAATCAGATCTAAGTTATTAATATAATATATGAGTTTATGTTATAGTTAGAGCTTTTACTAATTATAATACACACAAATTATTTTTATATTGCCTATAAATTATTTGAGAAGTAATTTAGCATGTATCACCACCATATTGATTTTGAAAAGAAAATGATGATTTAACTTAGCATAAAATGTGCATTTCTCCCACCTTCTTGTGAAATGTACAAAATCATATATGAAGTTTACATTTTTGGTAACATTTTTTAAAATATAAAAAGAACTTAAAAGTATTATCATTAGTAAAAGATTTAATTAATAAAATAATCATAAGAGCTTTAATATTTAAAATAAAAGTTTGTAAATAATTATAATTTTATCAAAGAAAATTTTGAAATGTACTTTAACTCGATGTAAAAAGTAACTAATAATATTTTTAAATTATTAAATTTATATGTGTGTAATCACCATAAAATATGTTTGTTCAATGAGTGTTAAACAATTCATTGAATCAATTATTTTTTTATTACTTGAAGGTTTTTAACTAAAATTAATTAATTAGTAAATTTAATTTAAAATAAATACTAACTATATCCGGTAATATAATTAAAAATTTCAAAACTAATGAGAAAAAAATTACAAATAACTATTTTATGTTTTTCCAATACCGATAAAATTAAAATATAGTTAAATATATATTATTTTTTGTCCCAGACAAAAAGATTAAATTTTACTTTAATAAATAAATATAATTTTATTTAAAATTATTTTCATGGCGCCGGAATATATAGGCCCATAGGCCCATTAGTTCTGTCCAGTTTTGAAATAATGGCCCAATTTGATTCGATGGATCATGGATGGTCTCACAAAAACTCCATCGCTAGCTTTCATCATGTTGACCGGTGGTGGTAGTTTCTTCAACGACCCGGCTAAATATGCGAATCCCATGTTGACCGGTGGTGGTAGTTTCTTCAACGACCCGGCTAAATATGTGAATCCCTATCCCTAACCGGACATTGTTAACCTCAATTTCTTACTCCTCAAGCTGAAGATCTTTCCACACTGGTGGAAAAGCATGTACCTTTCTTTCAAATTTAAAACCCTAGATCTCTCTCTCTCTCTCTCTCTCTCTCTCTCTTCTCTCTTGTTTTCGATCCAAGATGAGTGATAGTGAAGATGAAAACGAATACCCAAAGTAGTTCTACCCTCTGAATCGACAAACCCATCCCATGTATACCTGACCCGTCCCCAAACGCCACGCGTATTACCGTGAAGAGGAGAATGACCAAGAAGAAGACGACAACATCGAAGAAGACGAAGGAGGAGGAGGAGGATACATTCTTCGTGGGAACGAGAGGTTTCAGAAGAGGCTTAAACCGAACAAACCGGTTTCCGGTTACGACTTCGCGGGTCCAAGCGACGCGAACTGGAGAGACCACGAGTCGTTTGTGTTGTTAGAAGTATGGGGAGACAGATTCTTGCAGTTGGGTCGGAGGATTTTGAGGAACGAGGATTGGAACGAAGTCGCTGAGGAAGTGAGCGAGGAGCTTCGGTCGGAGAGATCAGAGACACAGTGTTGTAGAATGATTGATAGTTTGAAGAGAAAGTATAAGAAAGAGAAGATCAAGATGGAGAAATCTGGGTCTGGCTCGAGCAAGTGGTCGTTTTTCAACAAGATGGATATGCTGTTTGGTTCTTCTCCTAAGTCGTAGTTGGGTTTAGCTTGTGATGTTGATTCATGAGAGCTTGTGTTTATGAAAACCAAGGTTTATTTGGATAAGAGTAATGGGTTTGATGAGATGATTTATAGTCCTGGTGATTCTGAAGAGGATGATAATGAGGAGGAGGAGGAGCGTGAGATTGAGTATGAGAGGAGGAAGAAGGCAAACGATGTGGCGTTGTATAAGCTGTTGGCGGATTCAGTTGAGAGGTTTGGGAAGATATATGAGAAGATGGAGAAGAGTAAGAAAGAATAGATGAAGGAGTTGGACAAGATGAGAAGTGATTTTCAGAGAGATTTGGAGTTGCAGAAGAAACATATTGTGGAGAGAGCTCAGACTGAGATCGCTAGGCTACGTGAAGAGGAGGAAGGGCATCATCATGGTGATGGTGATGGTGATGGTGATGGTGATGGTGATGGTGATGGTGATGGTGAGAGTGAAGATGAGGAAATGGAGAATGATTCTGCTGGGAATCTTAGTGATTGAATTATCTCTAATAATAAAAACTAGGTTTGTTTGTTTGTTTTAGATTCTGAAACTAAGGTTCTGTTTATTTCTGGTGAGTTTAGTAACTCATGTTTGATTGATGGTTGCAAGTTTTATTTGTATGGATTAGTAGATTAGTATAAGCCAAGACAATTTCCCTCTAATTATTGCACTATCATATATTCCTTGTTATGAAAATGGAATTTATGATGATTATTCACCAAGTTTAAACAAACAGTCTCTATATTTGTATACATTTGCAAAAGAATCGAGAGCCAATATCTTAACAAATGAATTGTATGAGCAACACATGCTTGAGTTCAATGTCATTGGGGTGTAAGTTCAGATTTAATCCATATGAGTATAATCTAGACAAACAAGAGTATGGACATAGATCAAGGCAAGCTATTGAACATGGGAGCATGATATGAGAGTAGTAACATACATTTTGTTGCCAAGTACGAATTTGCAAGATAATAGCTATCTAAGGCTGCTTCGAACTTAGAAAGAAATAGCCCAAATCCGTTTTATCTAACTGATATAGGAAATTTACAGAGCTTACAAAGCAATTTCATCAAAATTGATTCATTCTGTAGCACTTCTGAACTTTTTCACAATTTTGCCTAAATGATTTGCATTAAGTTTAGAGACGTGGAATGGATAACTAGAAAGGTTGCAAAAGGAGAGAAATTGTTAGCTAATGTTTAAGCCCTCTACAAATCATATAAATGCATTATTCATAAAGAGTGTCTTTGAATGTTCATACCTAAACATTACGGATCTTGCACAATGTAGTCTTTCCAAGCTTGCATCATTTATAAGCAACGATGTAGTCTTCCCAAGTCTTTTATTGATGCTTCCTGCATCTTTGAGTGGGTGGTGGCATATTCAATTTCTTAGGAGCCGCTTACTAGTTGAACTAACACAATTATCAAGATATTTGTACATAGGTCCTATATAGCAAACAAATATTACTTAGTACTTCTTTTTTCTTCATGAGAAATAAAATTAGATATTACTTTGTAGATATGTACTATTTCTATATTACAAAACTATAAATGAAAACATGCACTTGCCTGAATGACCACAACCACAGCTATTGTTCAAAGACATATCCTACATTTGTTTGACATAGCATCCAAGCCATATGAGCTTGTAACAAATTTGAAAGATCAATATCCTTACAACTCCATTGATCATGCTATTACTTTAGTAACAAAATGTTATATGGCATTGTAACAAGACTACGCAAAAGAGGTTTCTATTCTTATGATGATGGAATTTATGATGATTATTCACCTGATCTTAGACAAACAATCTTTGTATTTGTATACATTTGCAAAAGAATCGAGAGCCAATATCTTAACTGATGAAACGTATGAGCAACATATGCATATAATCTCAGCAGACAACAGTATGGACATAGATCAGAGCAAGCTATTGAGCACTGGAACATGATATGAGCAGTACAGTAACATACATCTTGTTGCCAAAGTACAAATTTGCAAGAATTATAGCTATCTAGGACTGCTTCGAACTGAGAAAGAAATAGCTCAAACCCACTTTATCCAACTAATATAGGAACTTTGCAGAGCTTACAAAGCAATCTCATCATAATTGATTCATTCCGTAGAGACAACAACAGACCAATTCCACTTCTGAACCTTTTTCACATTTTTGACCAAATGATTTGCATTAAGTTTAGAGACGTGGAATGTAACTAAAAAGGTTGCAAAATGAGAGCAATTGTTAGCTAATGTTTAAGCTCTCTACAAATCATACAAAGGCATTATTCATAAAGAGCGTGTTTCATACTTAAACATTATGAGATTTGCACGATGTAGTCTTTCTAAGGCTGCATCATTTATAAGTTTGGCATGAATTCTTCCAAGTCTTTTATCGATGCTTCCTGGATCTTTTAATGGGTGGTGGTAGGGGTCCAAATTGACCCATTAACCTAATTGAACTGTTTATTTTTTAGTTAATGGGTTAACAGGTTAATGGGTTAATACGTTAATGGATTAAATAGGTTTATTGAGTTAGGTCAACTCTGACCCATTTATTTTTTAATTAAGAAAATAAATTTTAATGAAGCTATTGAGTTGGATCCTTTTTTGGTCGAAGCTCTCCTATAATCTGATTTCGTCACTTCCTCCTTCCAAACCCATGATTCAATTTCACTAAAGAACTGATTTCGTTCAATCATTAACTTTCTAGTGTTTGATAGAATTGGGGAATCATGGGTTTCTCTAAAGTTCAATCCTTTGTTCGGTGATTAGGGTTTGGGTTTTATTGGGTTGCTCGTCTAGAACTCCATCTCGTGTCTTCCTCACTCTTGATTCAACTCTGAAGCTCTCAATCTCGTGTCTCTCACTCTCTCAACCTCTTTCTCCCGTTATCCATCCTCCTCCACCTTTAGGTTTCAATTAAATAGCTTTGTGTAGTTGCCTTTGGTTTATTCTCTTAATAGTTGAAAATTCTCTTAATAACTTAAAAGATTGCCACTTGAACGATTTATGTTGGGAGATATTAATATGGAGCTCATCTTATCTGAAACTTGAAATGATTATGCTCTTATTTTCATCTTAACCAATGACTGCTATGGGTTTAGCTTTGTACAGTTTTTCTTAGGAGATTGAAACCTAAGAGGAATAATTGGAAGAGAAACGGTGGGTTTTGAGGTTGGTTAAATGGTTAATTTCGTTTGGTGTGTTTGTCATCGCTTATGAGAGTTGGTGCTATTGGGTCACTTGTGATTCTCTCGTTAGGAGAAGTCATTACACTGCTTATTTCTATAGATGGATCATGATCATTTCTATTGGTTTGATTGTGTTGATGATTCTTGGCTCATTGACTGGTGTTGATTTGTGGCTTGTATCCTCTTTCTCATTGCATATCTCACCCCACGCGCTGCTTTTAAAACCACACCAGTCCACAAAACAGCCACAACACCACTCGCAATCCCAACTTTGAAGGGTTTGTTTTCGCTTTCCTTCATGTAGATTGTTTGGAGACTTGTGTTTTGTCTTGAGTGTTTATTCTTTGAGATTCACTGCGAAATGAGCTCTCTTGTTTAGTGGGTTAGGAGCACTATTGAGTGTGATTAGAGCTCAGCTTACTTGATGAAATCAATTTTGGATGTTTCATAATTTATTTTATCCTTCAAATATAATCAAAACTCGTCTCACATATTGGAAGGTTGAGGTAACCTTATAAGCTAATATATATCGTCTCACATGTCTGCGTGTGTGTTTAGTTCTATCTTTGTTGTTCTTTAATTTTCTTTCTCTCATCTGCATTTCTACTATTACTTGAATTTCAAGTTTCTGGATATGGAAAATGAAGAACCATATACATCAACAGGTACATCTTCTAATACTGTAAAGAGAAGAAAAACATCAAATATGTGGAATTATTTCAAAGTAGAAAAGGATGATAATGAGGAAGATAGAGTATATTGTCTGAAATGCTCAAAGAGTTATGCGTATACATCAACTAGTGGAACCTCAAATCTGAAGCGTCATAAAGAGAAATGCTTAGGAATTTTGGAGTCTGAAAGAAGGGTAGTGAATTTTGATGAGAGAGTAGCTAAGGAAAAGTACAGTCGAGTCATTATTAGACATAATCTTCCTTTCATTTCGGTTGAATATGAAGAACAGAGGGACTATCTTAGCAATTTGAATCCAGACTACAAGTGTTACTCTAAGAACACTGTTGCTAGTGATGTTATGAAAACTTGGGAGAAAGAAAATCAGAGTTTGAAGTCTGAGTTGGAAAAAATTCCTAGTAGGATATACTTGACCTCAGATTGTTGTACTTCACTAGTTGGAGATGGATAAATAGCTGTCATGGCACATTATGTTGATGCAAAGTGGGTGCTAACAAGATTTTATCCTTTTGTGAAGTTCTTCCTCCCCATAGTGGTGAAGTCTTAGCTAGTAAACTCTACGAATGTTTGAGAGAATGGGGAATAGAAAAAAGGTGTTCACTTTGACTCTGGATAATTCCACGACTAATGACAACATGCAAGACATATTGAGGGATCGACTTAATCTAGATGATAATTTGGTGTGCAAAGGAGAATTCTTTCATTAACTGTGTTCTACACACATCTTGAACCTGATTGTACAAGCTGGTTTGAAAGTTATTAGTCATGCTTTGTGTAAGATCAGAGAAACAACGAAGTATTTTAAAGGTTCAACAACTAGAAGGATTATACTTGCAGATTGTATAGATGGTGTTGAGGATGTTGTGCTGTCATTAGATGTCAAGAATATGTGGAATTCAACCTATCTAATGCTGAAGAAGGATATGAAGTATCAACGTGGTTTAAAGATGTATAAATTAGCTGATAAACACTACAAGCATTGCCCTTCCAATGAAGAATGGAGAAGAGCTAGCACTATCTTTGAGCTCTTGAAGTCTTTTATAGCATTACGACTTTAATGTCTGGTAGAAGCTACTCCACTTCAAACTTGTATTTTGCTCATATTTGAAAAATCAATGTTTGTTGGAAGTTCATAAGAGCAATGAGGATGTCGTCATCCAGAAAATGATTTCTAACATGAGAGAGAAGTTTGATAAATACTGGGAGGAGTATAGTGTGATTCTTGCAATGTGGGCTATCTTGGATCCTAGGATGAAGTTAAAGCTTTTGAAGAGTTGTTATGGTGAGCTTGATCTATTCACCTCCCAAGAAAAAGTTGATCATCTTGAGGATAGGAAAATCTTTGATGATTATAAAAGACATTTATCTTTGACTCATGTTG